GTACCTTTATCGACCTCAAGACCACTGCTGAAATCTGTATAGTTTTTCTAACAGATGAACTTCATTCGAACCCACCCAACTTTCACAACTACTGCTAGTTTTTCAACAATATAGGTATACCATATTCAGTGAATCAGAGAGCATTTTCTCGTGAGAGAGCCTGTAATGAGCTTCGATTCTGATTTGCTGAAACTAAGAAGTTCTTTTCTTCTGTATAGTCTGAACAATGTTAATCGTGAATTTCACCAGAGAAGTCTGGCAATTTGGTGTGCCAGACGGGATAAATTTCATTCCTAGATTCGTGGTAAGAGCGAACGTTCTTCAGCGGAACTGCTATAACAATACTCTCTGACCATGTCTGTTGTACTAGTTTTTATTGTAGCCAAACTAAAGGAGGATCCAATCAATTGTCACTTGAATATGCCATGTAGATTGTAAGTATTCAGGTGACGCTCCAGCATCCTCTTGATCTCTGTGACCAAGTAGATTTGTTTTGAGTACCTTCATTTACCTTAGGACAACTGCTGAAGTCTGTATAGTTTTTCTAACAGATGAACTTCATTTGAACCTACTCAACTCCTACCAGTACTGCTAGTTTTTGACATCTACAATGTAGGTACCATATTCAGTGAATCAGAGAGCATTTTCTTGTGAGAGAGCCTGTAATAAGCTTCGATTATGATTTACTGAAACTAAGAAGCTCCTCACTTCTGTATAGTCTGAACAATGTTAATTGCTTGTCGTTGGCTGTGTCGAAAAAAACACTTCCTTCAACGCAGTTTTCATTCACTTGCGTCATATAGGTAGCTCCATTAAAATTGCCACTGAGTTCTGATAAAATGTATTTTTCTTTATCTTAACATCTTTCAACTGGACTGGTTTCCTTTGTCTGCAGGAATATCAGCCCTTCCCAACTCATCAATTATGACAGTATTTCTTCAAGGTATCACAGGAAGTTCGTATCCAGGATTATTTCATTCATTGTTCTGAAATGATAAGCTCGAAGAAGCTTTCATTAAAAATAAAGCTGTTTACATCGTATCCCCTGATTCTTGATGAATTATACTCGAATTTCAAATTCATGAGGAATGTTCATATCCTCTTGGGTATTCATTGTATCTAGGTACATTTCCTGAACTTATTTATGAACATCTCTGAGAAAATTAACACAATGAAGGAAGTTGAACAAATCCACTTCTCATAGTAGGTTTCAAATATTCAAGAAGAATGTATATTACTGTCTTCAATCATTTTCGAATTTTCCACAAGAGAATAACATAAAACTATGCTTATCATATGAGCGAAATAAGTTCATGTCCGATTTTGACGTTTTTTGTTTTGAATGACAGGATATATCCTTCTGAAAATACTGTATTCGCATAAAAACCTCTTTTTAATACATACCGGGTATAGCAATTGCAGTTCTGAAGTTTTAATGTGCTCAGCTTCATATAAAAAATATCGAAGAACAGCGGCTCAAAAGGCCTTATATGATTAGCTTGATATGAAAAATCGTGAAGACCATCGGCTTGAAACGCCTCAATCATTGTCAAACTTCCAGAAATAAATTATAGCTCGATTGAGGACCATGAAATCTGAATAAAAAAATCTCATACATTTTACATACAATGCGCGAAGTATGTACTTCACGAATTGTGTTATTGCGCGTACTGTTTCGCACATGTAGGAAATAGAAAAAAGTGTCACTTCGCAAACTGTTTTCAATAGTTGCGTTTGATTTATCCGATTCCGCACCTTAATGTGTCGTTTTATTTGCAAATTTTCCGATTCCGGTTGCTACTTTTCATTCCGACTCACTACAAGAAATGACGTGAATGACTGTTGAAAGTTGCCAAAAAATGGAATTAGATTGACATTCAGAAGACATTTTCATGATTCTTTCAAGTAAGACAGGATTCATATTTCCATTCCAAGATAAAATGTATTCTCTCGACTCAGACAACTTCACCACAATCACTGCTCCAAATATACGTTAATTCGTTTTCTTGATTTTTACTCTAGTATTATGATTTTGAAATCATTTGGATCTCCAATATATAAATATAACCTCTATCATCTATAATATGTCAATTTCTCTCATGGAAGGACTGCGAGTTCATGAACTTTCTCGTTCTATTTGTAAACGTCATTCTGTTACCAGAAAGGATCAAATGAGACGCAACTAATGTGAACCTTGTCATTTTGTGACGTTTGTAGAAGAAAAAGTGTAATATCCTGTCTTTCTTAAAAACATCCGCAATTAATATGAACTCATTATTTTCACCAAGGCAGAAGATGAAAAAAATATAGCCAATCCTGGTAATGTGGAATGAGTCGAATTTTCGCATTTGGACATTCGAACGCATGAGGAACAATACTATGAAGTTAGTTTTCGTGCAAAAAAATGCCTAATAAGATTTCACAAAAAATCTACTCGATTTATTTCAGTAAAAACGCACGGCACTGTCAATAATGATGTTTGTCTCTGAAAAACTGATCATATTGATGATATCAGTCTAAATTTGGTAAATTATTATAGCTGGGATATAGAGGGGGCGGGGCGTATATTGAAATAATACCTATACTCATAATAGAGATAAAGTCTGGACGTATGAGCAATGAGATTATTATGAAATGAATCATAATAGTATATTATGTAACAAGTGTTATAAACGTCCTTTTAGTAACGAGTATTTTAAGCACGAGCGGAGCAGAGCGGAGCGAGTGTTCAATAAACGAGTGTCTAGAAGAGTTTATAAACGCGTTATGATTTTTCTACGAACTCCGAATATTACATTGACATACCTGCTATTCCTGCTAACCTACAAAATAATTCGAAAGGAATGGGAATCGGGAACATAATACATGCAACTGCATGCAACCAGCAAGACACGTTTTGGTGATATTGGTTGTAGATGTGTCCAGTCCATTGCTTACTAACCTTTGTTTCACGTTTATCGTCATGCTTAGCGCAGAATAAATGAATTGTTCTCAAAGATGGATGCTTCATTTTTACACTCCTTGGAGATATGCAAGTACTAGAACATTCTCTTCGATTTCACTATCGTCTACATTTCGCATATATCTTTAATGAAGAATTCTGATACGAACAAATTTTGTTTGAATAATTCCGATACAAAATATGAAAATAACAGTTGACAGTTAATACAATTGACAGGCCAGACATGTCTCAAATTACTGAAGCTGTGTTTAATGAACTGCGTTGCCATGGTAATGTGTTTGAGAAATCGTGTTGCCATGGTAACGTGTTTAATATTTTGAATAAATCACAGATCGACAATCCGTGATTAATCGATCATTTAACGTGGTACATATCCGTACGATAAATGCCATTTTAGTTATGTGAGTAGAAAAAGTACCTTTGGATCACTCATCTTTTTATTTATTTTATGACAAAAAATAACCCTGTAGAGGAGGACGAATCAGGCGAAATGGCGAATAATCAATGATGAAAACCTGCATTTATCACGTAGACCAATGTAGAGGGAAAATTCCCTTCGGTACGGGCGATAGGTTTGCTATATATGCTTAGGTCCCGAAGGATGTGTTCATTCGAGAATAGTATACACGTGTTTATTAGGCATATATCCAGAAAATATAGAATTCCTGGGGAAACCACGAAGTATAAAGAGTGAATCGATTGAATGAACAAATTCGAAATTATCTGGTAAAAGTCCATAGCTCAAATCACGGAACTTGAAACGTATGCGACAAATGTATGGAACACAGGCAATAACTTGATTTAGGCTATATTTCGAATCCAACTGGTCAGTACTGTCAATAAATCCACTGACTCTGCTGAAAATCTGTGTTCCGAATTATAAAATCGAAAATATTGTGGCTATAATCCGAATTCAACTGGTCAGTACTATCAGTAGATCCATATTGAATCTGCTAAATATATATGTTCCGAAATATAAAATCAAAAATACAGTGCTGTAATTCGGAACACGTTTCCATTGTTTTCATCAGTATCTGCAGCAGTTGATCAGCTGGTGATATTTGAATATCATCCTCAGCGTCAATTATTTTGATAGCAGCATTTTCTGATATTGAATATGATATTATTGATTTATTATTGATGAGACAAGACTAAAAGTTTGAGAGACAACGGAAGTAAATGTTACATTCCATCCTCCTCTAAAATAATGACAGTTCACTGAAGCCACACTACCTTTTGATAGTCAGCAATTTCAGCAGAATGTTGAGTCAAATCATTTCGAATGAATATCTGCTCACAAGTATCTGTCTATTTCAGTGATTTTTTCGATTTCGGAATGAAAAATCATCAGATTCAGTACTGTCAGTTGAATTCGAAATATAGCCTTAGTCAATCCGTAATTTCTGGCAAGTTATTGGCTATGTTCATAACTTAATCTCATACATCAAAATATTCATGTTCAGTTCCGTGACTCTGACATCACAATATGTCATATTCATGCCATGCCACTTGTCATTTATTGATTCATACTTATATTCCGGCTGTTTGCCCTATCAATAATTCATTCGATATTTTTATTATAATCAAAAGGCTCTCTAACCTTCATCTACATATAAGTTTACTCCATCCACTTTATTTGTATAACTTCATCACCTGGTGATGAGGTAGATCTCATGAGTATTTCTTCGTTTGTAGAACTCATAACTGAAAGGCTTAAGATGAACTTTCCGTTCAATATGTTAGAATTCAAAAATTAATCATGTTTTCTAATATTGATAGATATTAATAGCGAGTTTGATACTTCGTCCACCTAATTGGCCGAATTCTTCTCATTATGACCAACTGTTAGTTCCTGACTGTTACAATTATTCACCAAGACAGATTGAACAATTCAACAAACTCCATTTACTCATAACGACCATGCAATTTCTATACCGTAAGATATTTATCGAAGTTTCGAACCCTAATGCATTCTCAAGTTGTCGACTTCCATCGAGCATAGCATTCAGAAACCACAGTATATCTTGTTTTGTTGCAGCATCGAAGCCCAAAATGAAGAGTCATTATCGCGGCCACAAGATGGCCGTGTGGCTTAACCTCATTCCTCAGTTGCACCAACCCGGCGAAGAAGATGTTAGCATGAGGCATCATCATTTCCACGAAAGAGAGCCGCACTATTACTCAGGTTAGATTATCACTTAGATCTTCTGAAAAATTAGATAGGAGTTGGAAAAACGTCGTACCAAAGTTATACAGGGTGTCCCAGAATGACGTTCGTATATACCTGGAGTTTTTTATTTTTTCAAGATTTCAAGACTTCAAGATTTCAAGATTTATTCAAAGATGTGATGATACAGTACAACAATTTTTTTTCGTAGATTTTTTTCCTCCTGTGAAAAACTCCTAGGCAACAGGCTGCCTTTTTTGCATTTCTCCCTCATGAAGCATGGGAGGGTTATCATGTTAAAATACAATACGAAATTTTGAACACGTTGTGTATGGCTCTTTTTATAAAGAGGAATTTGAATAATTTTATTTTTACTGGATCGGGTCATTTTAGAACGTTATTTTCGAACTTTGCAATCTGAGTTGATTCTGCAGATGAAAAGAAGGAAACATTTTCCTATCAACATGTGTCCGAAATTTCTTTCTGAGGGCGCTAGAGCCCTTTGAAGGTATATGGATGTTCTAAAATGCGGTTTTCTTCAATTATCTTTGTTATCAATGATCCTAGAATCACGAAATTTGGTACCTGCGATGGGTCATTCTTGTAGCCATAGATCTAAATACACACTTGTAGCATTGGTGACGAGTTTCGCGCATATTTGTATATTGAATCATGTTTTCCGTACTACTAAACGATTTGTAAGATGAAAGTTTTTCAGGAAACATTTTCTCACACCTATTGATAAGAACATTATTTCTTATTTTCATCTAGTATACGAACGTTATTCTGGCACACCCTGTACAGAAGTTTCATGTTCCATAAAAGTTTCATAAACGTTATATAGGAGTTATGCATATAAAAATCATATAGAACTTGTTTGGATCGTTCTAATCTGATCCTGAGGCTAACGAGATATTCTAGTTTGTCCTTGTTTCTGAAGGACTATCTAAGAGCACAAATTGATGCCAATCTGACGCTCCAGTGTTTTCCTCACGTAAACGCCTCATTCTGATGCCTACTTTGTAACGAATTCGAAAAGCCTCAAAAACTTTGTCCATATGTATGTTTAAGTTTCCCAATAAATTTCAAGCTTGTCTGCGCAAAGTAATTACCAAAGTTTCCACATAGTTTGTTTTGGTTTCAGAAAGTAAACAAATAACAATACTCCGGGAACGTTACGGTTCGATATCTTGTTAAATTTCTACGAATCCAAAAGGGATAACGCTAACATTGTAGAGGAACGTATAATTCCCAGTTGGGTGAATAAGCTTATATAGTGGAAGTGAAACAAATTATGACTGATTATTTTTTGTTACATGGTAAAATCTGTTACTTTGGTAATTTCAATCAATAACAATTCGTGATTATAGCCAATCATTCGATATTATACTAATAAAACTGCACCACCTCGATAATACCTTGTTAACATTGAACTGTCAAAATTAATCAGACTTATACGTGAGTCTGCCTCCTAGTTTGATTGGGCCAATCTTATATAATTCTCATGGTGAGTAACAATAATAGTAATATTAGTATTATATTAGTACATATATCTGGAATGACATTAAGAAATCCAAATTCAATTGAATTCTGATAAAGCCAGGAGCAAACTAAAAGTAATTCTCATCACGGGATTGGCACATTCACTCCATAACACTTTGCCAAAAAGAACTTGTTTATCCTGGACTAATTGTTCGATTCAGATGTTCGAGTGCCCAATCTTTTAAGAAATCAATGATGTAAAATTGTATCGGTCCTGATTGGAAGAATAAACATTTTTTTATTCGCCAGAGATTTTTGAAAATCACAAAAATTCTGGATTCTCCACCATTTTGTTTTTTTCAATTATTGGATTTTCAAATGTTCCATTGTGTACTACAGTTCTTTGTCTTTGAAATAACTCTAAGAAATCCAAATTCGATTGAACTTTCATGAAGCCTGAAGCAAAATAATAATAATAATCGTTTATTCGAGATTAGCACATTCACTCCATAACAAATTGCAAAGAAATGAGTGTTTACTGTACTATTTGTTCGATTTCGATGTTCGAGTACTCATTCTCTTCAGAAATGAATAGCCTAAGATGACATCGGTACAGGTTGGGAAAAATCTGATTTCCTTTTTCTCCAGCGGTTTTTGTAAATGACAATACTTTGGTAGAATCCGCCATTTTGTTTTTATTCATTATGAAATTTTCAAATATTCCACTGTATACTATAGCCCTTTAGCTATGAAACGACGCCAAGAAATTCGAATTCGGTTGAGAAATGATGAAACCACGAGGAAAATAAAAACTTCCGGTTTTTTTGTGACCACCCGATATATAGGTACTGGTGAAAAAAAATTATATTACTTTCAGATCAAAGGTATGCTATATAGAACTATGTATAGCAATCCCTATGAAATTATTGGAACCTTGTATAAACAATATCCAGCTTGGAAAATATGTTGGTACAAAAGAAGATTGAATAATTCGCTTTGTCACAGTGTTCCAATCCAGCTATTGGCAAAGTAAATCATTATTCGATAACCCTGCGATAATGGGGAAGCCAATATGTGGTCCTGGTATTGTCAGCATCCGTGTTTGATCGAACAGGGCGGAAAACAAAGATGAATGTTTGTACGCCGATATTACGATGTGTTGGCTGTGTAAACATGGATTGCTGCGATATTGAAAGTTTATGGGAGGTTGTCGGCCCATAAACGAACATGCCCCCAGGCAATAAGCCATATTTTCATTTCATATGCATACACATACATAACTTTCGGAAGGAAATCTTGGGAACAACCGTTCGAACAATGAGTATAAGTATGATTTATTTTTTTACCATATCCGAGTTTTTTCAGCACCGAGATATGAGTGTTATCAAGGCAAACAAAACACAAGCATGGCTTTTCAATAGAAAAGCCGATCTCACCGTGCCCAACATTAGCTTGTTAGGAGTAACCATACCTTTGAAGACATCCATTCCGATGCTTGGTATTTCTATCAGCAATAACCTTTCTTGGAAAAATCACGTGAGATCAATTGCTGAAAATGCATCCCAAAAACTTGGTTTTCTGTTTCGGGTCAGCAACTATTTTATTTCCAGTCAGCAGCAATAGTTGTTATTTCAATAGTTCAATCTAATTAGAATATGAAACTCAGAAAAACCGGTGGTGTACATAATGATATTTACCATGAATATCGATAAATTTACCCAGTGTGACGCCACTGGAAATATTATTTCGAATCTAATTGCACTATAAAAAGCTCCATATTACTATTAACAAATTAACATAGCTACAACGTTTTATTGAAATTGATGAAAAGACAATTGAGAAATGAATAAAAAAAAATTCTTCATGGATATATTACCCTGTATCTCAAAAACGAAGCTAGTTAGGACACATGTTTATATGAACTTTATTTCCTAAAATATTACAAGGAATCACCCCTTGAATTTTTATGGTGTTATTTAGATACACCGTGTATATAGGTGCTCACCTATTCGCTTGATTCGATACCGAATGTGTTGTTGTATAGTGTCCATTTTCTTGAAAGATATCAGTTGTCGCCGAGGAACTATTGAATCTCAGCAGCAAAATGATACGAACGTCCAGAAGATGAATCGTGCAAAATGGTGTAAATAAATCCATTAAGGAAACATTCAACCCTCATGCTTCCGCATCCCCATCTTATCTCCGCTGATGAAATATAAAACACCTGGAAATCCCATCGCAAAATCACATCCATTTCGCTAGTCCAGTGCCGAAGTAAGCCAAGTCTCGAAATATTCGAAATGTTTGCAATTTTTTCCTATACTCTGGTGCGCCTGAATCTCGTAAAGTACCGGTTTAAATGGTATGAAAGCAAAACAAATTTCAAAAGAACAAATAAAGTCCTCTGTTAAATACTAACTGTAGGTTGATCGAGGAGGTGGTATATTTTATTTCCTCATTTCTATAAAATGAAAATATGAGTATTATGGAGACATTATTCTATGCGTGTAGTAAGGACAAACCCCAAAAAGTGACTGCGTTTAAAAATGTTTCTATCAGATATAGACAAGGAGGTGGTGGCAGGTTATACGTTCTCTCATTTTACACTGCATGCCTTTCTGAGATTCTGAGGCTTCATAATTATCCCCAAAATATGAACAATAGAACGGTTCCTGGGAGTAGTACCTGTGCGTATTTCTTTTTGTGGAGAATTTTCGTATTTTTCCGCGATATTATACTGCCTACCGATGTAATATACAGAAGTTCAAACCAACTGAAGCGCTAAATTGATGGCATTCAATCCGCAGCGGCCGAAATAGCTCAAAACTGAAGAAAATTAAAGGGGACTCCCATGTTTTCACATTGCATGCCGATTCAAATAATTAAAGCTTCAGTAACAAAAACACTATGGAAAATTGGCATGCCCTCTCCCTATATACCTAGATCTCTTCTCCAAACCAATACTAATTGTCACTGACAAGCGAATGAATTTTTCTTCTAGGATTTCTGTTAGAAAATATTTTTAAACGCAGTGACATTATGAGGTAAACCATATGGTTTGTCCTCACTACACGTAGATATATTGAAATAATACTCATATTTTCAGTTTATACAAACGAAGAGAGAAAATCCCAAAAAACTGGAATAACGAAGAGTCCACTACCTTATTTGATTGGTTATGGGCAAATCGACAGAAACCACAAAAATCATGCAGCTATTATATCAATAATAGGTAGTGAAGAACATCAGTGAATACATCTCAATCATTAAAATCTAGTAGCCATGTCCATTATACAGCATATGACAAGTCGTTATTGATAAATAACTACTAGATTCGAGTGCCATTCCTGCGAATCTCGCATCAGAACAGTGAATTCAGGTTAAATACAACAGGAATGGCTATGTCATCATTGACTAGTGGTTCATAAAACGACGAAAACTACCTTGGTAGTAAAAACAGGTTCTACAGCTAGGTAGAAAAACAAATATGAGTCTTTTGCTTGCCAGGTTTTTCTTTCCTTATTTATAGGTCAGTTGGTTGAGACTAGATATTCTTATTTCCAAGAATTCTACATCACGTTCTGGGTACATTGAGAATTTCATGTCACTTTGTTACCTCAATGTCAATATTAAAGTCTACGAATATTTTCTAACGCCTGACCTGTTTGAACCGCAACAATCTTTTCGTTTTTCTTCATTCGAGGTCTTGGAAATTGTAACTTCAGAATGGAGGAGAAGATATTGTGCTATTAAAAATGAATGGGAATATTCATTTCCGTGAACTCGAACGTAAACTAAAGATATTCAACTCTCAAGTCTATATTTATATATTCACCAAAATTTATTGTGTTTAACTTTTTGTCTCGATACCCAGAGTCGCAATAATTTGTGGAATCGATTTTCTGTTCAACGTAGATTAGAGTATTTCCATTACTGGCCAAACAATCCCAATTACGAGTTCAAACATTTTTTTGATCTCCGATTGATCAAAAAATGCTCATCGTAGTTTGGAATCATGTTCTATATTCAATTATTTTGCTGCAAAAACAGACGACTAATTAGTCATGCACATATTTCAATAAAAGTTCGCAGTATATTCGGTACTTCGTAAACGAATATTCAGTAGTAATACTACCTATAAGTACTTCAAAATATTCGGGATATACATCGAAAACTTGTTGCATAATTAGAGAGAGTGTGAGTTTAACAGTTGAAATAATCCGACTGGAAAGCGGGAGGATTATTTTGGTAAAGTGACACGATTTGCAATTGTGCAGGAAATTTGAGATGTATAACCTTGAAGATTTTCACGTTCGAATTGTTGTATTCAATGCGATTATTTTTCAAGTAGTTCTGAACGGATGTCAAAATTTGACGAAGTGGTTTGTTCGTTTGTAATAATATGAGTTAGTTACTATGGGAATAGAAATAATTCTGAATTTCTGATTGGTTGAACTCCTTCATGAATTTCCATGTATATTCAAAATTATACAAGGTAGCTTCAAATTACGGAAATAGTCCATGCTCAAAATGGAGAAGAAATGTTCAGCAGCAAGAATTACTCTGAGTTATCTCCACAAGTTTTGATATAAGTTATTGAGAAACTAGTTTCGGGTATAAAAATATCCATCTTCAGTTTCATTGGACAAGGAACCTACAAAAATACAATCGAAAGTAATACTAATGAGACCGAAAATGGGTATATATGCACTCACAGACAAAAAAAAACCGGCCACCAAAAAATCGGCAAAATTATTCGCCCTGTTACTTTTTTAATTCTTGTCCAATTTTCGTGGGATTTCGATAAAATCGGCTATTCATATCTTGAAATGTTAGCCTGAATATTAAAATCTGAGAAAAGCTGATGGCTTGATCATTATACAGGGAAGATCAAAAGTAATCCTTTCACCCTTAACTTCCAAACGCCCTGTGGAAAAGGTGAGTGGTTAAACCTGAGTTAATTCTATCTTGAATTGAAGTGTGATCCTTTTTTAACATAACGGTTTTCGTTTCACGTCGATAACCACTTTTTAAGAGAAGATACAAGTGTTTCAAAAACGTATGGTTTTATTTTCATTAAGAATAATTCAGAATCATTCTACAACCTTCTGTTTCATCATGTTTTTAATTGAGAAGTAATCCTTTTTCGTCCCTTCTCAGCACAATGGCTCTTCATTCACGTCAATATCTTGTTTTTGAGAGAAGATAGAAGTGTTTAAAGAAAGTATGAAAAAAAACAAAAATTCAAAACCTATAGAGCATTCAAAGGGCTGAACTCCAGAGATTCATTCGCCCTCGTTCGGCCATGTCAGAGATTCTTTTAGAGCAACGATTCGCCGTTCAAGGAGAATTTCAGGCAATTCTTCAATACTTCTTGAGAAATTTGATCTACTCGATGACACGGCGGTTGAGAGCTGTAATTCAAACTCGAGGGCATACTCGCTATTGACTACAAGTCTTGTTTTTGTTTGTTTTTTATAATTAAGGTTTTTTCCGGTAAGTGCTAAGATAATGAGGTAGAAATGAGTTTGATTAATTCTTCAGGTTGTTATTCAATGAGTTTATATAGGTTCTGATTATTTTTAATAAAAATTGAGAAATGTCATACTTTCTCAAAACACTCGTATCTTCTCTGTAAAATAAGATATTGACGTGAATCAAAACAATTGTCTAGAAAAGGGATCACACTTCAATACGAGGTATAATGAAGCCACGTTCAACCACTCAATTCTGCCACAGGGCGTTAAGAAGTGAAGGGATAAATGCTAACTTTTGTTTTTTCCTGTATAATGATCAAGTCATCAGCTTTCGACGGAACTAATATTCAGGCTATCATTTCGGATTATAATTCTACGATTTGATCAAAATTTCACAAAAATCGGACGGAAGGATTAAAAAAGTTACAGGACGAAAAATTTGGGCATATTTTTTGGTGGTCGTTTTTTTTGTTGGTGAGTGTATATACCTGATATAATTTCAGGTACCGTAAGAGCCGAATCTTTCACAAGGCTACCACCCCCACTTCATCCCTCAACTGCCACCGACTCAAGGACTACTAGAGGAGATGGCACGGAATGCATCCCGAATACAACGTCCGAAGACGATTTGTTGATCATCGATGGGGACGATGGTGAGTCCCATCAATAACCCATTTTACCCATCCGTTCACCCTACAAAACGCAACCCACTGGCCTCTACTACATAGTCAAAGCAATATTTCGTTGAAGGCGTTCACGTGATTCAAGCCACTCTTCCTATTCTCGCGCCACGCCCACATCTTCACGACCGTCCAGAATGGAAGGTAGGGGATGACTGAACCGACGCCATTCCTACTGTACGGAGAATTTTTTCATTTTTTTTCTCTGTCCATGAGCTGTCCTTGAAGTTCTGCTCGTTCTAAGAATTTCAAAATATGTCATTCAATGTAATGGCTGAAGGGCAATCACAGTCACATTAAAAAAATTCCGAATAATTAAGATGTTTTTGTCAATGTCATAGCTTAATCGAAAATTACATCAATGGGATGCACGAAAATAAGGAATTCTTAGTTGAAGAAGAATGTGTGATTATTGAAGAGCAATTTTGGAGAACCTGTTGAAAACCTAGACCCTACAAAACAAACACCCTCTACTACATAGTTGAAGCAATATTTCGTATAAGGCGATCATACTCAGAGCCACTCCTTCTATTCTGGTGCCACACCCACATTTCTACGACGGTCGACCTTTAGGTCAAGCCTCCAGAATGGAAGGTAGGGGATGACTGAACCGACGCCATTCCTACTATACCTACAGCGAAGTTTCTCCTTTTTGCTCTCTGTCCCTCAGCTGTCGTTGAAGCTCTGCTCGTTCTAGTAATTTCGGAATATGTCATTCGATGTAATGGATAAAGGGCATTCACAGTCAGATCCAGAAACAAAATTCCAAATAACTAAGATGTTTTTCTCAATGTCAATGTTAATTAAAAATTACATCAATGGGATGCACGAAAATAAGGAATTATTAGTTGAAGAATGATGCATGTGCAAACCTTTCAAAAAGCTAGATACCTACCTCCGTTATGGAAGTTGAAAATATGGCACAGCCAACATATACGGTAAGTGGCAATTGATAATTCAATCGCTTCGTGAAAAGATGGATGAGAGCGCCATTGCGTCGGTTATCACGACACAGAGGCAACGAGAGCGATAAATCAAAAATTACCCCCGTATCCCAATTTGATTGATAATTCCCAGTTTCCCGTCATTTTTGCCCTTGGTTCGAGGACCTTTCTGCGGTCTCGCGCACTAATACGTTCTCTACTTGACAACAACTATCCGACCTACCGAACTCATCCATCATTTTCTTTTGCTCCTCTTTCTCCTACTTCAATCCCGCTTCTCGAGCAGTTACCACATATGCACGTTCCAATACAGCCATTACTCCTACAGGAATGAGGAACAATTGGGATACTAGGAATTCCTATTCTACGCTTCCTATTTCCACCTTAAAAAACAGGAAATTACACTACAGTTCTTACTATTTTCCTTTCGATTTTTCTATGCATGAACTTCGATACCAATATAACTTGTCTTTGAAAAGAATATGTAACTATCTACGTCTCTGAAAAAAATCCTCTATTGACTGACATCATTTCAATTCATCCCTGCATCCTTTTGTTTCCTTCAAATATAACTAAAAAAAATTGCCCCTCGAGTCACGTTATATATATAAGCATAGATAAGTTATATTTTTTCAGTCAAACACAATTTTTCATCACGTTTTTTTGATGGATTTTCTTCTTGAATTCATATTTCATATACATATAGTGATTGATTTTCCAATTTACTTACTATTCGACATCCTGGATGTTGAGAATGCTCCAAATATATGTTTTGACTGATGAACAGGGTGATTGTTTATATTTCACTAATTAACTCAATAGCTATATCTGTTGATATTGCAGAAACGCTCAGAATAAATGAAGTATTTTTTATAGGCATTCAGAATCAAGAACAATAAAATGCAGAAGAGCATCGTAAACCTAAAGTTTTTACAAAAACTGGTATTTTTCAAATGGAGCACCCTGTATTTTATTTTCCTAAACATTAGAGCTCTTTCTCCTCAATTCAAATATATACAGGGTGATTCAGTTTTTGTAGCAGGACTTCAAGAGGAAACTATTTTAAGATGAAAATCCCATGTTAATATTTATGCGTAGGAGCGTCTTTTCCGATATACAGGTGGTGTGATATGTTTAATTATTTTGTGTTTTTCAAGTTTTGCCACTAAGTTTCATAAACACAGCTCATGAAACCTTTCGATAATACGAAGTCTTCTAGTCAATTATTTAGAAATGTCAAATAAAGTGTGTTCGAAAAGTGAAGTTTTATATATCACACGTAAATTATTTTAACATTTATCTCGAAATCCATATCCAAAAATCATATGAAAGACCAAAAAGGTTTTGAATAGAACAAAATCCTATGCAATATCCCATTGAAAGCAGAGGCAGCACGCATAAAAGTTCGAGAGGATTAAATTGGGTACAACTTATCCAAAAGTGTATTACCCTGTAGTTATTTGAACCCGCGTAATAGTCTCAAATATTGAGTTTACAAAGTGTGATAGGTATACCAAATTCCAATTGATTTTTTCGAAAATTGTAGGAGAAAACTGAAAAAGCATTGAAGAAATCTCTAACTTTGACTTGCTGTATATCGGATACGAAGCTCCAATGCATATATGTTGACATGAACTTTTCATCTTGAAAATATGTGTTCTTCAAGCTGTTATAGTCATGCAACAAACAACTGACTCACCCTGTATACTTAATTGAGGTGCTCTTTTTTCAGTTTTTGAAAAATATAGATGTTTTGGTATAGATCTAAGGCAGGTTTAGAACGCCAGACGACTATGATCGATTATTCTTCATTCGAATTCGCCCATCACTAGAAATTACTTCAGAATATAAAAACCTCCATCCTCTATCTAGACGAACTGGACCAAGAGAGCGAAGAGCTGCTCCAGCGGCTAGCCACCAGGCATTACTACAGTTATACTGCAGCCCTGGGCGTCACTGTTGGCGTGGGCTGTCTGCTGCTGGTTCTCAACATGCTCATCTTCGCGGGCATCTACTACCAGCGGGAGAGAGACAGGAAGCGGCAGCACCAGACGCGGCTGCACCATCCCAGGTCCAATACCACGATGTCCACCGAGACGATACCCATGTCCCAGAGACCGTCGACGCCAGGTAAAGGTCTCAGTCAGTAATCACTATTTATATTATTTATCTGGCATCAGAACTAGTTTATAGATCTCCCTAGCACAATGTTATCCTTCTATGCTATATGGACTTGGCAACAATTCTCGAATGGGGACCCAATAACTTGGTAGATTTCAATCCGAACGAAACACATCAAGCATGCCCTTTTTCTAGGAAAGCCGATCTCACTGTGCCCAACATAAGCTTGTCAGGAGTAACCTATGAAGACATCCATTTTGATGCTTGGTATTACTATCAGCAATAACCTTTCATGGGAAAATCACGTGAGATCAATTGCTAAAAGTGCATCCCAAGAACTTGGTTTCCTGTTTCGAGTCAGGTGCTATTTCACTTCCAGTCCGCTGTTTATGATCTATAAAGTACAGATCCGACCTGTCCTGGAATACTGTTCCCATTTTTGAAGTGCAGCACTCAAACATACCCTGAGACTGTTGGATTCTGTCCAAAAAAGTGCATTTCGTCTCGTGGGTGATGCCTCGCTCACAAACTCACTCACTTCTCTGGAACACCGTAGAAAAGATGGCGATCTGACTCTATGTATATTATAGATATTTTCATTGACGATGCTCTTCTGAAATATCAACAATTGTTCCTCCCTTGGCACTCCCCGCGAGATAAACCCGTCGAGTTGAGGCTTCGCACCCCATCGAGGTCACTTTGAAGACCTGCAGAACATCTTTTTCCAAAGACTCGTTTATCCAACAAACAGCAACCAATTCCTACCTTATTTCCCTTGGTTCTCACGATGTTCTCTGAACATTACAGGATATTCCTCTTCGTGGGGACCAGGAACATAAAAAAGTAGGTACTAGCAATTTCTCGTTTCCCTTCAGTTTCGGCTAGCTCAAAAAAAAACCTGTTTGTCGTCTGTCTTGATGCCCTTCTTAGATAAGTGTTTATAGAAAGTTCCCAGCCTGGAGAATTCTCTTCAGAGTCTGGCTGTTTTGGTCTACCTTCCTGAGTTCACTCCAAACTGTACGGTCTAGCAGATCACACAAGGTTTCAGGGCCAGGTCTCATTCAGTAATCACTTTTCAAATTATTCATCTGTTATCAAGCAGAAATCTACAGATTACCCCACTACAATATTATATTCACATAATATTCTTCTTCTGGACCGAACAAATTCACAAATTCGTATAGTTCGAGCAATTCATGTTACTTACATCTTCGATTCAGAGTAATTCGAAAAGAACCCTGGAGGCATCCGTTCTAATGCCCTTCTTCAGTAAAAGTTTACACAGGAAATGCTTTGCTTTTTTTCAGTTTTAAGAGTTTCTTTCAGAGTCTGGCTATATTGGTTTCCTCCTACTTCCTGAGCCCACTTCAAAATAAGTGTATGGTCTAATCATAGACATTAACTCAAACATTAACAGATTGTCTGAGATTTTGTTTCCCTTAACGCCTTCATGGCCTGACCTGACCTGGCTATATACTTGATTCAAGAGTATATACGATGGTTGCTCCCGAAGCTCTACGATCACTTTTACAGCTTCAACTGTTATCTACTTCGCAAGCTTTCATCTAATGAAATCTGTTGCCTTTGCTACTAACGGATTTATGACAGGTAACTAAAACATTTGACTTGTGAAAGTGCTACACAACTTTGATGCATGCGATTAAGTGGTTGTCTGCTGCCTTACCATTGTTACTGATATTATGACGATATCCTTAAATGAATCTTCAACAGAAACGGGTAATTTTTTTTCTGTTGCCACACACCTTCTCCGACGGTTGTGAAGGTCAATTCCGGGATGAATTGATGAATCCTCTGGCAGGGTATGATTACCAAATATCCAACAGACTTTGTTAATGATTACCATTCGGCCCAAGGCAGAGGTTGTAATGTCTTAGCAAACCAGTCAGAATGGGTGTTTAAGCTAGTGTGAACTTACTAATGACACCTAGGTATACCATAGATAGACAAACGCTTTCTCTGAGTCCACATTTATCTCAATATTCTTCATATTCCAGGTAGCTCCGCTCGGCAGTCTCCAATCGTCTCCAAGAAGGAAAAACCGCACGAGCTGCCGCCTTCGTACACCATCGTCTCCAACAGCCCCACCTTCGAGGACTGCCCCACGATACAGCGGGGCAAGCAGGGCAAGCCTCCACCGCCCGCGCGTACCTCTAGTAATCCTCCGGGCGGCACCGTCAAAAAAAGGGTGCAGATCCAGGAGATATCCGTATAGCGAACGGACGCAGAGGGCCGTGGAGGCTCTCTGAGACCTGTGAGACAGGAGGAGGACTTCGACCTTGTGTCGGTGCAATTATAACAGGACGACGTGTGCATGATACTCGTGATAGATTGAAGCCTCCAGAAGAGCATTGAATCATAACCAGCGACATAAATTATTTACTGGGCCGCTAATCAGGGCCTACTCTATCTCACCGGGCCGGAGCATCGCTTTTGTGACGTCACACTAGTAGGGACAAAATCGAGGCGCTGGAAATTGCGTTTCCCAATTCATTGATGTACCACGGGAAAACGGTAACAGTTATCAAAAAATGTCAAGAGATCAAATATGTACAGACTAGACTTTTTCAAGAGATGAATCAATATTCACTGATTTACGATTGATAGTTCAAGAAATATAGCATATCAAAATGAACTGACTACATTCATCATTGTCGTTTTTTAAACAGCTGCTAGAATTTCAATATTCAATTCACAGAAATGATTCAACCATGCAAAGGCTTCTCATAGTATCTAGATTGACTGTAAATTTTTTCAAAATTCCCAAGAGCCAATAACAAGCCGATATATTTCAATTCAAGTAAAAGGGTGATTCAGGTGATTATTACAGACTACTTCAAAAAGTTTAGACGGCCCCCATGCTAAACCTATCAGTTGTGGATATATGCTGTCACTGACTTTTTTGTAGTAAATTTCATTGCCTACAAATCGATATGATACCCTTTCACTGTATCTCAGAGGATTTTAGCAGCGTTTATGTCTGAACATAATCTGGACACACTTTGATGACGTTAGAAATTATTTACCTACTCGAGTAGAAGTTATTACCCAAAGACCCTGACAGCAAATTAATCATTTTCAGCTATGGAGTATAAATGTTTCAGAAATAATCTCATATTAATGAAAATAAATTGATTCGAAAACATTTTCAAAATATGAAGATTATATGCAACAAAAAATATGTAGTTCTCATGCACACAATACTAAACGAAAGCCATTCTGAAAGTATTTAACATAATAGAAGAAAAAGAATAGCCAGATATAACCAAATAACATTGAATTCTAATATATACCTATATCACAAAAGAAAAAATGGGCTCAAAGCTTCATATTCATCCGGAAATTCTGATGATTCATCTTTTCTTATTATTTGACTGGAAATCTGCTATATTTCATATGTAATACCTAATTATTCAACACAATATTCAATATAGCTTTCAAAATATCAAAAGACCCACAACTGGAACATGAGTAATACAACGTGCATTGCCATTTACCTATAGGGAATTACCGCGAAATCGTCAATACAGGGAAATTAGGTAGGTATAATACTAGACAAATTTTTACGCGCTCTTCATTTCTAATTCATTTCGGACTCATTGTAGGTAGCTCAATAATTTTCTCACTATTTAATTGATGCATTATCCTAGTTTGACATACTCAGTCAGTTTCATCATTACCAGATTCCCAATTAAAAAAGAATAATAGTATTCCGTAGTACAACGTCCTGATGTTCATTAAAATCATCATAAATGGATACTGTTTCATCCTAATGAATTCATTTTTTTACCGAAAGTTGGGTAGTTCATCAGGGATCAATTCGTCTCGATTGAGTGTGCTTCTAATTTCAAAAGTAAATGAGCTATAACCTCTCAATTACGAACGCACCGATATGAAATGATGTGAAATCTCAACCTACTAGTGTGACGTCAGTATCGAAGTAGAGGGGATATACTACGGCCCAGTGAGATAGAGTAGGCCCTGCGCTAATGCCGGCTGATTCGCTATGTACATGGAACTTAGAGAACACTCTATCTTATGTTTCCGAACACCAAGACATATATTATGACTCGATGTCATGAACGACAGTTTGGCACTTCCAGAGGCGCATTGAGCAGAAGCGTTTTCAGGCCAGCAATTTGGATGAGATTAGCGGATTGCTGGGATGTCATATAGCGGTCTAGATAGTAATTATGTCAGTGATCATAACGAGAAAAAATGCAAAAAATAGTTGCGCAGACGTTTGTGTATTTGCGTGATGATATGATGGGTAGGAGTGGGGGTATTGCAGACTTTTTGTGTCGTTATATTTATGTGAGAAGAATTTGAGATGACTTTCTACCATGTCTTGTTATTCTTTATGTGAAGACACTGAGTACACTGATATTTTTCGTTCCATCATCATCAATATTCACTTCATTATGGTGTTCGTTGGTGTTGCCTATCGTGATTGATTATCAGAAGATAACAACGCTCAAGAGAAATGAGACATTTTGTAAAGAACATCTCGAAGCTGATGTCTTCATTCAGTATGCATCATAAATAATACTCCAATGACATTTTGTTCAATTTATATGTCAGTCAGTCTATGTCTCCACTAAAATTATTTAATTTGATAAAGGTGGAATGGAAGGTAGACCACTCAAATGACTAAGTATATAGTTCTGATCAATTTTGCCATCTTCGTATTTTTCAAAGGAGATTTGTACATTTCTCACTGTTGATTTATTGACTCCATGACTAGTATAACTACAGAAAATTGAATCTTTGCATCACTAAAAGTCTACGAGTTGAATGACAATTTCATATCTCATTGATGACGAAGAATTACGAAAGGACTTGAGAATCTATCAACGAAGAACGTGAATTTGAAAGTCATCACAGCATCTACATGATATGAACTGAATCAAATTTTGCACTGAATCAAGAATCAAGTTATTACAGTGTGTAAGATAAGTGAAAAACAGCGAATTCATTTTTTTCCAAACCAAACACTTTTTTTTCTCTGGAAGTCACAGTTTTCGATACTCCTTAAATATACAGGCTGTTCCTCATACAAGTAAACATATATAATTGGAATGTACCTGATGGCATAATCATTATTATTATTATTCCATATTTTGTGAATTCGCATTAATAATTGATAAATTTCTTAGATTTCTTTGGTTTGAGAAGAGTGAATTTGTTCCACACCAACTTTGAATATCAGACATTGCGTATTTATGTTAAATATGATACATAGTGTTGCCGTCTAGACTTATACATTCTAGACTCTTGTCTCGTCTTGTCTAGAATATCAAGACAAGATCATCAATATGTCTTGTCTAGATTATCTAGACAAGACAAGACTTTTATTCAAAACTCTTGATTATTTTCAAATCTATATTACAAATACGTCGTTTCGCTGGCGCGGCTATGATTTGTTTTGATTGGTTCCCAGAGAGCGGGAGTTTGCATGCACTTGACTGTTTCTACGCAATTTAAGCTAAGCGTCTTATCTAGAGTCTTGAATAAGAATCTAGACTTTCGTTATCTAGACAAGACCGCACTTAGCTTATTTAATCAAGACTTACGCGTATACAACTCTTGTCTTGAAATTTCAAGACAAGACAAGAGTAGGTGAACTCTTGTCTTGTCTTGTCTAGATGGCAACACTAATGATACATGGTGAAATGTATTGAATAGTAGGAAATAGGCATTTGAAAATCTTATTTTGTAAATGAGGGTTTCAAATATACAGGTTGTTACCAAATTGAATATCTATATTTACGGGAAAAACTATGAACGTATGACCTAAATGCCTTAACTTTTGAGATACAACGTGGTAAAGTTCTCAAAAATAAATTGTTTTTTATCAATATCTGTAATACCACTTTTCTATTGCCTCCTGTGGCGTTCGTATGGAATTCCACATACCTATTTTGGGTAGACATTGATGGTACGCTACTGATTAATCTCGAAATTGAAATCATTCCTGAAATTTTCATTGCCATATGTGAAATTCCATATACGAACGCCACTGATGGCAACAACAAAAAATGTGGCACATTAACTGATGCCTCTTGATACATAGTATATGTTTTTCAAATTCCATCAGAATATCTGGAAAGGTGTATCACAGATATTAAAAAGAAACTATTTATTTCTGAGAATGTTACCACCCTGTATCTCAGAAGTTGAGACGTTTAGGTCATATGTTCATATGGAATTTTCTTCTCAAAATTGGCCGAAGAATCGCCTTCACAAATATTGACATTCAATTGGGAAACACCCTGTATACCTAGGTATGTGGATGTATAGGTATTGTTGGGATACCGTGAAATGATGTTATGGAAGAAATGTTTTCTTGTTTTTTTTTAATCAGAAGGATTTATGAGGATGAACATACTTACTGATGAATCAACGCATTGTACCTATAAAGAAAAATGAGCCAATAAAATAAGAACAAAAATGTGAGTGACGTTTGTAAAGACATTTCTGCTGGACATAGGTACTTCAACTATTTCTGTAACAATACAGTACCTATCAAAAATAAATAATATATCTGTACAAAAAACAATGTTAATTGACAAAATTCATCATCCCGGGTGTTTCCAGAATTGGAGCGATACAAAATGGTGTGTTGTATGAGACCTAATGATCGCAATAAAAATGTTTTCAAGCTTTTATTTTTCAAATGCTCTCACCATTCCAACTATTATTGAGAGTCTGGCAACATTGCGAAAGTATTTGATACTTTTTGTGCTTAATTCGGCCCTGGCCGAAAGCAAAATACTTGATTTCGGTTGATGAACTCTGGTTAATCATTTACTCTTACTGGAATAAAAAGAATCACTTTCATTTCGTCGCTCCACTATATATACGAGTCAACACACTGTATATTAAAAAACTATCGGGAATAGGGACATTCTTGAATTCCAGTGGAAGCTGTTTAATTCCGATGTAACCATCTTGGACTCATTGAATTTTATCTTGTAAATAATCAGTTTTGTACATAACCGTATATATTAAATAATAAATGAAAAATTTGATGTTTTATTGTAAGTACATACTTAGAATCACCTTATACTTGATATACCCTGACCTACCTCTACCTCACCTACCTTCATTATTTTTCAAGGCATTGTAATAAAAATGCCT